GTCACACGCCCCAGGCATGTAAATCGATGATAACACAGCCCTAGTGAGCGTCTAAATCGACACAAGGATCATACGTCAGATCGCTCAACCGTATCTTTCCAATATCCCACGATTCACGGTCCCTTTGAGGTCCAAATGTGCATTGATGTCTCAATGAAAACCCCATTTTCCGGTACTTCTTCGCAAAATTTATCCTTACCTTTGCTTCTCCCGGGGATTGAGCACGCCAGGGACACGACCTGCCCTTCCAAAACCATATGACCACAGAAGAGATGAAGATCTTTGTGTGGGAAAGTATGGATTGATAGGGTTACGACTGTCCGAAACAAACAACGCAATTCATGGCATGGGAGGGAGGTTTATGTGTTTGTTAAAGGGGAGGGTAGAGATGTCAAGATGCCTTGGGTGTTTTTGTCCCAGAGGAGGAGTTGACGGGTATTTTAGGATATCGCAAGGTGAATTCGTGGAAGGCATTAGGAATCGACAGCCTGAAACAAATTACTAAGACCAAAAGTCAATGATAGTGCCTGAGGCCTGGGGACCAGAGGTGGGTGAAGGATGGCATGTGCAGCTGGGATTACGAGCGGGATTGACCGAGCAGCTGCGTTTGCTTCGATAGAGACGAGGATTGGGGAGAAGGAGGAGGTTGCGAAGGAGGTTACAAAGCCTGATAAGTACGCCTGATCCGTATGGATGAATCTTGAAGGGCGTTAACTTGGGGGAAGGGGCATGTGGGATATCACGGAAGGCATTAGGTTTTCATCGTAATGCGGAGGTAAGTTGCTCATATGTCCCACGGAAGCGATTTGTAAATGAAGCCGAAAAGAGTCAAAGAGCAATCGGAGTGATCTTTGGAGCCTCATGTAGGGACGTTGGTAGATCTGTCGCCGAATTGTTGTGGTGCCAATGGAGGTAAAATTGTTTTCATGGGACTAGAACCATTGTCGTGACGGTGAGCCGCAAGTACACTTCAAGCGTTGGCCGTGGTGCGTAGAAGGGCGTACGTTCGTTCATGTCTACTTCGTGTAACAATGAATGGCAGTACAACGCCTAAACGAGTATTGGTTAGCTTGGCATGTGGTAAGAATTGAGTTCGACAAACAGGCGGAGCCATGAAATTGTTGAGGAGGGTGAGCTAGCAACGAAGTCTAGTTCAAATCAGGGTCTATATTTGGCGTCCTGGCGAGGGTTACATCACTGGAACCTCTGAAATTCCATTCCTTCTCTCGACTAGAACCTGAGAGCAAAAATTGGTCAAGAGTTGGGACTTGCGTCAGCGTGAAATTCAAATTTACTTCTGGGCCGATACGTCTATGCTTTGTAAACGAAATCAGCCGTTTTGTGTAGGTTATGAGGTTTGAATATCCTTGTTACTAGCCTTCCCAGCTATACTGATTTTCCACGAGTGTGAAAAGTATTCAGTCCACGCAAATTGCTGCCGAAAGATAACTAGAGCTTGCTGCGCACGATCAGCCCGTCTACGGTGGGGGATGAATCCTTCACTTCTAACGAGATAATCGGTTGCTTGCCAGTCTACCTGTGTAGGGTTGCGAATGTACCTGCTAATGTTAGCATAAGATGAGTGAACAGCTTAAAAGATAAATTCGAAATTCGACAGACCTGCAGCTGACTCTCGTACACAATGGCCATCCTACGCAACATGCGTATCGCAGTCCATATCCTCCTTGACCAAAAACCTCGACGTTGTAGGTGCTATGAACTACCTCGAGACCACAGACAAAGCAAATCTTTGCCCCCGGATTTGATCTCGGGATGCCGGATATTTGGCAAGCTGCTGTCAAAGAAGGGTTGGAGGTCCTTGTCTGTCCTTGTTGTGGTTTCGTTCGTATTCTAGTGCCTGGGATGCCATTTCAAACCGGTCAAGGTCTGTAACCGTACCCCCATGTTAGTGGGGTGCGTGAAGAAAAGGCAGAGCAACGTGCCTTTGACGAACTTGGCTTCAGGCGGTTCACCCGCTTCGTATTCCTAGATTCAATTAGTGTCCATAGACTTGAGTTCCATATTTCAGAAAAGTAAGCACGAAGAACTAACCCTCCACAGCGCGTCCATTCGTTGCGCCGCCGGACTGTCATGTAGCATCTCGTGAATGAAGTTATGCATCGCTTCCTGTGCGTGGATAAGCGTCATGTAGTACGGAAAAAGGTAGGAAAGGAGGACAGACAGCTTCGAGACGATGTTTCTCGGCTTTTGGTATACCTTCTCTTGGTGCGATGTCTCCGACTTTGAGTTGGGGTAACGTGAGATAGGAAAGAAAGAGAGAAGAGGGGGGGCGAAGGTACCTTGAGCTTCAGCGAGATCATGTACCAGAGCCATCATCACGCATCTGTTCGAATATAAGTAATAAGGACTCGCGGGTATGGGTCGTTGGTGATGAAGAACCCACTTTGGGACGTCCAGCTGGGCGTCCGTCGATAATATGCACAGGATAGCCATCCGGTACATGTGGTCGGATATACTTGGAACGAGCTCGAGTCAGTCAAGGAAGAAACTTTTGGATTGACAGTATGTAGTATGCACCTCTCAGGATTTGGGATCTACACGATATCGAGTCTTGAATGAGCGAAAACTCAAAGGAAGGAGAAAAGGCGCACATCGTTGTTCACCCATCCTGTCCGTTTTTGCGTCTATAGTAGCCTCCCCTTTAGCCAAGGCATACTAATCACGCAAGTGGAACCGTGCAGCACCTTCAATCTCTAGAGGATGTGGATGAATGCGAGTCTATCTGCTCTTTCGCTTCCTTGAGATATGTATAATGGTGAGAATAGACGCTTTTCTTGAAAAGTTTCTAAATTCCTGGGTGTCGGTTCTTCCAGTGACTTGTCCACTGGCTGGAGTGTAGGGTCAGGGCGTTCAGGAGCGTTGATGAAAGTTGGGTGAAAGATAAATAAAGAACCAGCCTCCTACCCATTCGTTGCGCCGTGGTTGAGTCATCTGAGATGAACGCAGGCTCCTAAAAGCAGCCGCTCGTCTCGCGATGCTATCGTACTCAGGAGGAGAACTAAATATGTGAT